GCCGATCCATCATCCAAGATGGCCGCCATCGGGGAACTTAGTTTAACATAGGACCCTATGGGAAATGCATACAAATGACTTCTTTTAGAGAACCACTGAATGGAATGAAACCAAACATGGCATGAATGTTCCTTATGAGGTGCTGACCAAGTGTTGTTACTTTGTAGCCGATCCATCATCCAAGATGGCCGCCATCGGGGAACTTAGTTTAACATAGGACCCTATGGGAAATACATACAAATGTCTTCTTTTAGAGAACCACTGAATGGAATGAAACCAAACATGGCATGAATGTTCCTTATGAGGTGCTGACCAAGTGTTGTTACTTTGTAGCCGATCCATCATCCAAGATGGCCGCCAGCGGGGGACTTAGTTTAACATAGGACCCTATGGGAAATGCATACAAATGACTTCTTTTAGAGAACCACTGAATGGAATGAAACCAAACATGGCATGAATGTTCCTTATTAGGTGCTCACCAAGTGTTGTTACTTTGTAGCTGATCCCTCATCCAAGATGGCCGCCATCGGGGGACTTAGTTTAACATAGGACCCTATGGGAAATGCATACAAATGACTTCTTTTAGAGAACCACTGAATGGAATAAAACCAAACATGGCATGAATGTTCCTTATGAGGTGCTGACCATGTGTTGTTACTTTGTAGCCGATCCATCATCCAAGATGGCCGCCATCGGGGGACTTAGTTTAACATAGGACCCTATGGGAAATGCATACAAATGACTTCTTTTAGAGAACCACTGAATGGAATAAAACCAAACATGGCATGAATGTTCCTTATGAGGTGCTGACCATGTGTTGTTACTTTGTAGCCGATCCATCATCCAAGATGGCCGCCATCGGGGAACTTAGTTTAACATAGGACCCTATGGGAAATACATACAAATGTCTTCTTTTAGAGAACCACTGAATGGAATGAAACCAAACATGGTATGAATGTTCCTTATGAGGTGCTGACCAAGTGTTGTTACTTTGTAGCCGATCCATCATCCAAGATGGCCGCCAGCGGGGGACTTAGTTTAACATAGGACTCTATGGGAAATACATAAAAATGTCTTCTTTTAGAGAACCACTGAATGGAATGGAACCAAACATGGCATGAATGTTCCTTATGAGATGCTGACCAAGTGTTGTTACTTTGCAGTCGGTCCATCATCCAAGATGGCCGCCAGCGGGGGACTTAGTTTAACATAAGACCCTATGGGAAATACATACAAATGTCTTCTTTTAGAGAACCACTGAATGGAATGAAACCAAACATGGCATGAATGTTCCTTATGAGGTTCTGACCAAGTGTTGTTACTTTGTAGCCGATCCATCATCCAAGATGGCCGCCAGCGGGGGACTTAGTTTAACATAGGACCCTATGGGAAATACATACAAATGTCTTCTTTTAGAGAACCACTGAATGGAATTGAACCAAACATGGCATGAATGTTCCTTATGAGGTGTTGACCAAGTGTTGTTACTTTGCAGTCGGTCCATCATCCAAGATGGCCGACAGCAGGGGACTTAGTTTAACAAAGGATCTATGGGAAATACATACAAATGTCTTCTTTTAGAGAACCACTGAATGGAATGAAACCAAACATGGCATGAATCTTCCTTATGAGATGCTGACCAAGTGTTGTTACTTTGTAGCTGATCCATCATTCAAGATGGCCGCCAGCGGGGGACTTAGTTTTACATAGGACCCTATGGGAAATACATGAAAATGTCTTCGTTTGGAGAACCAATAAATGGAATGGAACCAAACATAACATAAATGTTCCTTATGAGATGTTGACCAAGTGTTGTTACTTTGCAGCTGATCCATCATCCAAGATGGCCGACAGCGGGGGACTTAGTTTAACATAGGACCCTATGGGAAATACATACAATTGTCTTCTTTTAGAGAACCACTGAATGGAATTGAACCAAACATGGCATGAATGTTCCTTATGAGTTGCTGACCAAGTGTTGTTACTTTGCAGTCGATCCATCATCCAAGATGGCCGCTAGGGGGAGGGGCTTAGTTTAACATAGGACCCTATGGGAAATACATACAAATGTCTTCTTTTAGAGTACCACTTAATGGAATGAAACCAAACATGGCATGAATGTTCCTTATGAAGTGCTGACCAAGTGTTGCTACTTTGTTGCCGATTTACAGTTCAAGATGGCCACCAGGATATTTTATTAAATAACGGGACCAATATTAATCAAAATTTGGCCTCAATCATTATTTGGGTATCTGTTATGATTTTTATCTATCTTTACATGATTTCTAAAACCAAAGTAGAGTCAGGTGAGCGACACAGGCTCTTGAGAGCCTCTAGTTATTGTACTACTGAACAGGATGACCTCATGTATGGCCATTAGCTTGACCAGGATGATTGCACTCCATCTTCCTCTATCAATAAAAAACTGGCTGCCACTATATAGCCAATATGTTATGGAAAAGGAAAATCTACAAAGTCTAAATCCTTACTAAATAATTCTTTATCTGCTACATCAATCGTGGGAGAAGTCCTCGCATTGACAGCATTTAACTAGCACATGCCTTATTCTATGTTTCTTTATATACTTTATTTTTATAAGTATATTACAGACGACACGAAGGTAAATTTCTAAACAATATTATGATACCTATCAGTTAATAATTTACATTTCATTAGGAACTATCATTTGTTTGTTTTTGTTTTTTTTTTTTCCCTTTTATTTTCCTTACAATTTGTTTTTTGTGGGTTTTTTTTGTGGTTTTTTTCTGTGTTTTTTTTTTTTTTTTTAAATATTATTTTTTTTATATACATATGTATACTTTATTGTAACACAGCCAACCCAGTTCGTCACAGCTTCATATAATTACTTGCCAAAATGTTATACTAAAAATAGAGTAAGGAATGAGCGTATATATATAATATTTATGTTATATGAATTTAAGGCGCAATTACTATAAAAGTAAACCGCCTACCAAAACCAATAACAACATCAATATAGCCAATAGCGCTGCAAGTGGTTTTAAACACCAACAATCAATCAATCACACTCAAATATTTCCTCAAAGAAAAGTATCAGATATTGATTGGAATACTGCTCAAGCTGGCGTTAGAGGGCACCTTAATTATAATGCCAGAGTTTTTGTTTCATTACACCCCACTCTAAGAGTGCAGGCTATGAAGCTGGTGTTAGAGCGCACCTCAGTTATAATGCCAGAGTTTTTGTTTCATTATACCCCACTCTAGGAGTGCAGGCTATAGTGCAATCACCTTTTCCTCCATTGATTGGAATACTGCTCAAGCTGTTGTTAGCTGGCACCTCAATTATAATGCCAGACTTTTTGTTTCATTATACCCCACTCTAGGAGTGCAGGCTATATTGCAATCACCTTTTCCTCCATTGATTTGAATACTGCTTAAGCTGGTGTTAGAGTGTTATTTCCTACAAGAAATTTGCATTGCAATTTTCCATACTATTTCTTTGTTTTGGGGCAGAACTCCAGGATAGAAATTTCATAAAAAAATCCAACAAGAAATGTAGGCTTATATAACAGTGCATACAATGCAATTTCCTATAATGTATATTTTAAAAGCATATATTTCCTTTAAAAAATAGTTGATGATCACTGGTTTTTCGGATTCATTCAAGACATGTTGATATCAATTCTTTTAATAGCAAGAATCATTTAATTGTTATTTTGAAATAGTAAACAGAAACAAATGTGCTTGCATGGAAATATTTCTATTACAGATTGATAATGATAATGTCTACATCAACATCACACCATTATACAACATCAAATATTTAAAAACTGTATAAAAAAGGGGGAAAAGTAAATTATCATATTGCAAAGACATATAATATGAATTGTTTTTATACCAGTATATAAATACAGATGTCCTTAACCAATACAATTCAATCCCGCTAACAAAGATAAGATAGATATTTTACAGATAGTCTGGGTCAGGTATATTTCTGTCATTTAAATATTTATCGATTACCTGAATCAGATATAAATCTGTCCTGATTAACTTCCTGGTTGGTCTACATTTGAAGAAACAGTGAAGGACATTTCAGTTGCCATGCACACACCTAATTTAACTTTTGTCACAATAACATCAACAGGTAAATGGTTAAAAAAAAAAAAACTACTACTGCAATTTGACTATATAAAACTTAAATATTCTAGAAATGTATTGTGTGCTGAAGTTTTCCTGTTCACGCTATAAAACAATCAAAATGCTCATGAGCACTGCGGGAAAAGAATACTTTAATGGTCATTGATTGATTGTTGTTTAATTGTTTTAGGTCAACTGGCAAATATTTCATGCATGTTTAGACAACTTCAATTATGCATTGTGAACTTAGAATTAAAAATTCATTGTATTCAGCAAAAACAAAACACAAACAAATATTTGGTCAATATTTTAAATTGAGTAATTTCCCTTTGATCAAATAAATCATGCACTTTGTGCTACTTTCTTCCACTTGTGTTATTACAAGTATGATTATTCATAACCTAAAAATTAAAAATTGCATTGTATTCACCAAAAATACAAAATCAAATATCTGAAATACCCTCTAAATTGTGAAAGGAAAACACCGATCCATCTACATTAACAATATCATTTACAAATCTTATACCCTTTTAATTAAAACCAATCCACGTTCAAAATGTGTTTTTTTTCTACATTAATGTTATTGTTTAGCCAAATTGGACTTGCAAGAAAGCATTCCCAACTGTCATTTTCATCTTTTTCCAGGAGTATAGTTGCCATGATTTCAGAACATCTTTCCTAAATGATCGTTTCGGGCAAACGTATGACCTTTATAAATAGACTTTTAAACATCTTTATGTTCACACATTAGGCTGTGATACTGTGAATTTAAGGAGAAACTGAACGACTTTTTGAAGCAAAGTAATAAAATAGAAAACATTCTAAGCACATTTGGATCATTAGAATCATTTCGAGAAGTATTTGTTGTTAAAACAGACTTAGCTATGAATAGAGAAACAAGTTTGAGGAGGGAGGAAAAAGTTGAAGCACGAGAACAATCCAACATAAACAACATGACCATGAATATAGCGAGAAAGATAGAGATCAACATGAAGAAAACTATTATTGACATGATTTGTCTGATAGATGGAAGAGTTATAGTAGTGGAACGATGGGGTACAGTTAACCTATTTTCTTCTGATGGCAAACTACAGAAACAATTACCTATACCTGGTGATGCGAGGAGTGTCACACAGATAGATCAGAACACTATAGCTATAACTTATCATAATGAGAAAGCCATTAAGATCTTCAATATGGAGAATGAAACAGTTACCAAAATTATCAAATTAGGCAAAGTATGCAGCGGTTTATCATTCTCCAATAATTCTCTGGCTGTAGGTTTGGATTATAATGAAATTCGTATTTTAGACCTAGAAGGAAATACACTGAATTCAATACAAGTTCAGAGTAAATCAACACTGTTTATCCTTGTTTACTGTAATGACAGAGTAATCTATATTGACTATCTTGATGGAGCTGTATACTGTTATGATGGATCAGGTAAACAGATCTGGCGATATACACAGGATTTATCCTCACCATATGGACTTTGTACAGATACTTATGGTAACATTATTGTAGCAAACTATTACTCTGATAGTATAACAGTAATATCAAAAGATGGACAGAATAGTAGAGTATTGATTAGTGAAGAGGATGGACTGGTTCGACCTCAGTGTATTTGTTTAAAATATAATGAGTCGTCGGGTTTTATTTGTGATGAAAATTGCACATACTTGGCAAAATTCAATTTATCTCCTTAATAAGATATGCATTAAGAAATCAAATGATATTCTTTAAACCTGCAACTAATTAAATATAAATACAACTTATCCAGCTAATATCTAGTAAGAGCAAATTGAGTTGTCTATTTAGCGGTATATTTAACATTGCCATAAAGCGCGGAGGTTTGGCTACCCACAAAACCAGGTTCAATGCACCATTTTTTCTTGAAATGTCCTGTACCAAGTCAGCAATATGGCAGTCTAATAGTTCGTTTCTCTGAATGTTTTATTGATGTTTTGTTTTGTTTGTTGCACTTCTGTGTTCTGTTATTTCCTTGTTTTCTCTTATAGTTGTAGTCTTTCCCTCGATTTAATATAAAAAAGAAGATGTGGTATGATTGCCAATGAGACAACTCTCCACAAGCGACCAAATGACACATAAATTAACAACTATAGATCACCGTACGGCCTTCAACAATGAGCAAAGCCCATATCGCATAGTCAGCTATAAAAGGCCCCGAAATGACAAATGTAGAGCAATTCAAACGAGAAAACTAATGGCCTAATGTATATACAAAAAATAAACAATAAACAAATATGTAACACACCAACAAACGACAACCACTGAATTACAGGCTCCTGACTTGGGACAGGCACATACATACAGAAGTGGCGGGGTTAAACATGTTAGCGGGATCCCATCCTTCCCCCTAACCTGGGACAGTGGTGTAACAGTACAACATAAGAACGAACTATAAAAAAATCAGTTGAAAAAGCTTAACTCATCAGATGGATACAAATAGAAATACATCTAACAAAAACACAGAGTGGACGTGGCCGGGTACTTGTATATCCCAACAACAAAAAGACACAAATTACTGATCTGAGAGTACTCGCAGTTACTGACAGCTAGTTCAAAGCCACTAACAACTAATAAAAAAATCATGCATCTAAGACTAAATTATCAATCAGTACACATCCAACTTCCAATGGATTTATTGTAAAGACGTCATAAACAGTCGGAGAAAAACATGACCTTGTGCAATGCCAAGATACAGGTATCGACAGATTGTAGATCCATGAATGTGTATATGTATATAACAATAATATTTAGTTTGCTTTTAATTTACTGAAAACAAAATCAATATTAATATCAATAAAAACAATATTCAATGATCTAATTACAGTGTTGAATTGGTAACCTATAAGAATAAGTTTATTTAAAGGATCGATAAGTTTACCAGGATTGTTTCTAAATTTCCGGGCACTGTAAACAACATTTCCGTAAAAATGAGGAAGTGATATCCGTTTGAAATAAGTACAACCAAACTTTAAAACCAAATCTTTATATCTATGGAAGAATTTAGTAAAGGTTTTAAGTAATTTGTGATAACGAAATCCCTGTCTTAATAATTTACCAGTAAAACATAGATAACGTTCGTTAAAATCAAAAACGTCACAACAGACACGGGCATAGCGAACTAGTTGTGAAATATAAACACCGTAAAATGGTGCCAAAGGAACATCACCATCCAAAAAGGAAAAGTAAACAATAGGGAACGAAAAATCGTCCCTTTTGTCGTTAATTTTAGTGTGCAGTTCCCCGTGTAAAACCGAAATATCTAAATCTAGGAAAGGACAGTTATTACCGTTTAAACTTGATTTATTTAAAGTAAGGTCCTTTTGGTAAATTTCGGCAGTATATTTAGAAAATTCTTGATTATTTAACGAAAATATCATCAAGATAACGGTAAGTGTTGTTGAATTTATCAATTAAATTCAATTTAAGTTAGTAACCCGGATTTGTTTTCTCTCAATCAATTTATGACTTTTGAACAGCGGTATACTACTGTTTGCCTTTATAAGTCATACTCGACCAAAATTCATGAGCATGCGGACACCAAGCGTAACTGAGGCGGAAACCAGGCGTTTTATGCAAATGAGTACGCCTGGTCAATAAATAAACCAGGCGTAATGTCTTTACATAATACTAAACTTAATTTAAATCAGTGTATTATCCTAGATGTGAACTTCGTGTATTTGAAACAAACTTGTACTGTTGCTTACATTTCTGACTGTTTGACATAAAAAATGAAAATTATTGAAGAAGATATATAAAGAAATGAAATTAGACAGACACTGGATCAAATTAGCTAAGTTGAAACAAGAATTATGACAATTAACTTTTCTTGAAGTAAAACTAGCATTTTGACTTAGTTGTTTTGAAAATTAATGTCATTTGAACTAAAACAATCAATGATAATACTGTAATTTAACTTGTGAGAGATTAACATGTTATTCTCCAAGGATGAAGGTTTCCAGAATTTGAAATTAACGTTTAAAAATAAAAACTTAATAACTTTAAGTTAGTTATTCACATAATAATTATTTACCATGTAAACTACTTTCCTTTTATTTCACAATTTTCATTCATCAATTTGATTCCATAATTCCAATTTCAAATTCTTCCAAAAAGCACAAAAAAAGCTAATTTCCCCTATATATCAAGCTGCCAATATGCCCAACTCTTCCAAGGTCATATAGCACAGAGCCAAATTTTGAAAAAACTTTCCCATGATCCTTTAAACAAATCACTATGGGTATAATGATTTACGCCCTTCCAGCAGTTTTACGCCCGTAGGAAAATTTACGCCTTGCTTATTTCAATTTACGCAAGGTTTACCACTTTTTTCCTACGCCTGTAAATGCTACAAATTTAAAAGAGGGACGAAAGATACCAGAGGGACAGTCAAACTCATAGATCGAAAAAAACTGACAACACCATGGCCAAAGTTTCCTGCTCTATTACGCCTGGATCTGGACAAGTCATGTAACTACCACTTACGCCTGATTTACACCAGATTTCCAGGCACAATACGCCTTATACTTTCGTACGGGGTACAATGAATATAAAATATAATTCCCCACTGATTTTCAATAATAAAATATTTTTAGTATGAGCAGATTTTTTTTCACAAATAAAGTCAAAAATTAATATAAATTTTCAAAAAAAAATGGCAAAAAAATTAAATAATATACATTTTCAAATGAACAATTAAATCATAACTATAAGAAATTGTGAACTTCCAACTTCTTTTCCTACAGTGATTCTCTTTGTAGTGAAGAAATAATTTTTCCATTTTCTATAAATAATTAAAAATGTACTGAGAGAAATCAATTCATTATCAATTATCTTAATAATACACCTTTCAACTTTTAATCGTCAGTGTCATATAATCATAAATGTTTCTAATAAGCAATTCTTAGAGGACAAAATATGATACCTATGTATATGTGTATTAATGTATTTATTAAATATCCATAACACATGGGTTTGTTGCTATATTAGGAACATTGGTGTTTTGCTATATTGGGAACATTGGTTTGTTGCTATATTTTAGGGTTCTGGTCCTGCCTGGAATTAAATGTATGTGATTTTTATAGAATGGAGATAATAGCATCTGTCTGAACTTTTTAATGTTTCATTTCAAAATATAAAAGTGTTTTTCTGTTACAAATCATGATGTTTTGTTTTATGTGTACATGTCATGCTGCCCATCAAGGGCGCTTGATTGGAATAATAAATAATATTCTATATTGGGAACATGTGTTCATTTTTACAATAATATTTATATTGTTTTAGCATAACAGTAAGTCACCTTAACAAAGTTAAGAGTTTAAAGTTTCTTTGAATGAAAGCACGGACTGGTCATTTGTTTGATGAACGAATGCTATTTCTTTATTTTTCGATGTAGATATGTTTGTAAGACATGTGTACTGCAGCAGCTTAGTGTGTAAGCAAAGTGATTGAGGACAGTTGTCTAAATAAAAATAAATAAAACTTTGCTGCACTCGTCTATGCGAGCTGTTCCCCATAGATATGTGTTTTAGATTTGTTCAGAAATACTGTAAATATTTGCAATTGAGGCCACGAATAAGTAAATAAATGTCTTTGGTTTAACTTACAAAATGTCCACAAAACAACCTTTTTAGATTAATTTTTGGAGACGATAAAGATCTTAGTTTAAGGTTTATTTGTTGGTCCCATGTCAAGCAAGGATAATTGATAAACTTTATTAGAAGACTCTTTATTAGGTAGTTTCTCCTGTTTCTAAAGAGAAAAATTTAAAAGGTGAAACTTGTAAAGGGGAACATTATTGGTTAAGATATTATCATAATTGCAATTAAAAAAAACAAATTGGTGACCCACTCTAATTGATTCATATTTTATATACTGAAAAGTGCTTTTCCTTCTAAAGACCTGTAGTAAATGCAAATGTCTGTAATAGAGCTATATTAATGTTTTTTGTCCACACTATACTTAAATATATAATTCTAAATTATGCAAACTACTGTTTAAAATCTTTCCATGAGTGATTTCCATCACTATGATTAATGGGAGGAGTGAAAATATATTTTGAGTTTTTGTTTGGTATAATACCTTAAAGTTTTGTATTATTGTTCCCCTTTTTCACATATATTCCATTGATTGTATTAAAATACTTAAATTTTCTTAAGGTTGTCATAAAGTTTTTGTATAAAAACAGTCTTTTGGCCCCTTGAATTTGAAACATCAAAATGTAAGTAGTTATAAACCTTCAAAAAACATATTTCAGATGTTTGTAACACCTTCTTCTAAATGTTTTTTGTTGGGAACAAAATCATATGGAAGAAAAGTTCATGGAGCTAGCTAACAATATGTATGGTGAATTAGTGACTGAGCCAAACCTCCGAGGGAAAGTGGTCATTGCTGACAGAACTATATTTACTGTTGGTAACAGGTTGACCCAGGCAAATAGATTAGGATATCCTTACGTTGTTGTTATTGGAAAAAGTGTAAGTAATAGTATTAAATATGGAAGTTGATTCTAAAGGGACACATACAAACCAATTGTTGAAGAAAGACAAAAGCTAAACGCCATGTCCCCCTACCCCCAAAAAAGGCGAAACGACTAACGCTGCAAATAATACATAAGACAATAGAAACGACAACTACTGAACATCAGGTTCCTGGCAGGTGCAAACAAACAAATGCAGCGGGTTTAAACGTTTTAATAGGTACCAACCTTCACTCTTACCCGAAACAATAGTGTAACATCACAACATAGAAAGATACACTATAAA